AGCTAATCACTCCCACACCCACACACACACACACCCACACACACAAAAGACACACACGCCTTGTATATTACTGAGATATATATATATATGTATATATGTATCTTGATTTATATACATATGTGTATATTTGATGGCTCCTATGACAGAGCCATCTATAAAATATATATCACTACATATATATATTTTTACTTACACAAACACACCTGATGATATATACACTAGATATACATTCATTCTGTATATTTTATATATATGCATATATATAACTATATGTATACAAAGGTCTATATATAAGTATATATATACATATATACATCTATTTAGATGCCAGCTACATGGAGTTTCGTATGTACAGCTGGCATCTCTGCAGCCCTCCATTCCGCTACACTATCTGCACACATGTTTAACTCACACTCACACAAATTTGCACTCACACACACACACACATACGAAAACACAGCTCCCTAGCAACTAGTTAAAATAAATGAAAAGAAATGAAAAGAAAATCGTGTTTGTTAAAGTTCGATTTTATTTTATTCAATTTTTTTTTTAAGCTGAGCAAGCAAATAAATATAAGGAATTTGAAAGTACAATTCTGAAAGCAAGGCATTTTATTTGGATAATACATAGACAATATATGAATTAATATATTCATATACACACACACACACACACATCTACTTCTCTACTCTCATTCAGTTCACTTGTTTTGCGCCGAAAAGCAGGCAATGAAAAATATTAAGTGGAAAAAATCGAAAAAAAATTAAGTTCGAAATGATTTTGGGATTCATATGAAAATTGGTTGATTGACTTCAATGGTAGATATTGAAAGCTAATTCAAGAAGTTTTAGCTTCAAGTTCGATATCTGTCTCTATAATTCGAGCAACTCTGCCTATGTCAACAGTTTTTTATTGATTTATTATTTATTATTTTCGATAGAATATGGATTTCAAGTATGATGATTCCGTTATTAAATCAATACAAATCTAGAGAAATGTCGGATTTGACTAGAAGCTTTGGAATTAGTGAAAGCTTTGGCCTTAGTGAGTTCGAAAAGCATGTATATCAAAGATAGATTCAAGATATTCGAAGCTTTATCTGTGATTCGAAATGTAGTCAAGTAGCTATAATTTACGATGATCGAAAGTTCGAAATTGGCTAATCTGCGCACATGGCTAGAAGCATGCCATAGATACATATTTGGGTAGAGTACTCTGAATTTAGTATATTCGCAAGGCAAGGAGCAGCATTACATAAATATGCATAGTAGATACATATATGGAGTATACACAAAAGAAAATACAGAGCAGGAGGCATAACGATCACTCAGTGCAGAGGAAAAGCTCGTCGAAGAGTTCGGCCAGGAAGCGGGAGTCGAGCACCTGCTGGACAATTGGCAGGCACTGCTGCTGCTCCTGCTGTTGCCTCTCCTGCTGCTTGGCCAGCCGTGGCGGCGACTCCTGTGGCATATCTAGCTGCGCCGATTGCCAGCTGGATAGTCCCCATCCTCTAGCAGCTGCTCAGCCACATGTGGAAAACACTGGGAGTTGACACGAGCTGCTGCTGGTGCGGCTGCTACTGCTGCATCTGCTTCTTCTGCATACCCCATATACATACATATATATACATATAGTACTCTGGATTTAGTATATTCGCAGTAGAAAGGAAGAGCTTTACATAAATATGCATAGTATGTATATAGAGTGTATTCAAGCGAAAGAAATCAGCAGGAGGCACAACGATCACTCAGCACACAGGAGCAGCTCGTCGAAGAGTTCGGTCAGGAAGCGGGCGTCGAGCACCTGCTGGACAATTGGCAGGCACTGTTGCTGCTGTTGCGGCTGTTTCTGCTGTTGCTGCTGTAGTTGTTGCTGTTGATGCTGCGGCTGCTGTTGCGAGTGCATCAGTTGCTGCTGCTGCTGCTGCTGTAGATTCTGTTGTTCTTTCAGCTGTTGCTGTTGCTGCTGTTGATGCTGTTGTTGCTGTTGCTGCTTCTCTTGTTGTTGTTGCTGTTGCGAGAGCAGCAGTTGCTGCTGCTGCTGTTGCTGTTGTTGCTGTTGCTGCTGTAGCTTCTGCTGTTCTTGCTTCTGTTGCTGCTTATCTTGCTGTTGTTGCTGTTGCTGTTGCTGCTGCTGTTGCTGCTTTTGTTGTTGCTGTTGCTGCTGTTGCGAGAGCAGCAGTTGCTGCGGCTGCTTCTCTTGTTGTTGTTGCTGTTGCTGTTGCGAGAGCAGCAGTTGCTGTTGCTGCTTCTTTTGTTGTTGTTTCAAGAGCAGCAGTTGCTGCTGCTGCTGTTGCTGTTGTTGCTGTTGCTGCTGTAGCTTCTGTTGTTCTTGCTGCTGTTGCTGCTTATCTTGCTGCTGTTGCTGCTTATCTTGCTGTTGTTGCTGTTGCTGTTGCTGCTTTTGTTGTTGCTGTTGCTGCTGTTGCGAGAGCAGCAGTTCCTGTTGCTGCAGTTGCGAGAGCAGCAGTTGCTGTTGCTGCTTCTTTTGTTGTTGTTGCTGTTGCGAGAGCAGCAGTTGCTGCTGCTGCTGTTGCTGTTGCTGTTGCAAGAGCAGCAGTTGCTGCTGCTGCTGTTGCTGTTGCTGTTGCTGTTGCAAGAGCAGCAGTTGCTGCTGCTGCTGTTGCTGTTGCTGCTGTAGCTTCTGTTGTTCTTGCTGCTGTTGCTGCTTATCTTGCTGCTGTTGCTGCTTATCTTGCTGTTGTTGCTGTTGCTGTTGCTGCTTTTGTTGTTGCTGTTGCTGCTGTTGCGAGAGCAGCAGTTCCTGTTGCTGCAGTTGCGAGAGCAGCAGTTGCTGTTGCTGCTTCTTTTGTTGTTGTTGCTGTTGCGAGAGCAGCAGTTGCTGCTGCTGCTGTTGCTGTTGCTGTTGCAAGAGCAGCAGTTGCTGCTGCTGCTGTTGCTGTTGCTGCTGTTGCTGCTGTAGCTTCAGTTGTTCTTGCTGATGTTGCTGTTGCTGTTGCTTCTGCTGTTGCTGCTTTTGTTGTTGCTGTTGCTGCTGCTGTTGCTGCTGTTGCGAGAGTAGCAGTTGCTGCTGTTGCTGCTTTTGTTGTTGCTGTTGCTGCTGTTGCGAGAGCAGCAGTTGCTGCTGCTGCTTCTCTTGTTGTTGCTGTTGCTGTTGCGAGAGCAGCAGTTGCTGCTGCTGTTGCGAGAGCAGCAGTTCCTGTTGCTGCTGTATTTTCAGTTGTTCTTGCTGCTGTTGCTGCTTCTCTTGTCGTTGTTGCGGTTGCTTCTGCTGCTGCTTCTCTTGTTGCTGTTGCTGTTGTTCATGCTGATGCTGCTGCTGTTGCTGTTGCTCCTGCTCTTGTTGCTGTTGTTCTTGCTGCTGTTGCTGCTGCTGTAGCTGTTGCTGTAGATGCAGCGGCTGTTGCTGATGTTGCTGCTGTTGCGAGTGCAGTAGTTGCTGCTGCTGCTTGGCCAGCCATGTCAGCGACTCCTGCGGCATGTCCAGCTGCGCCGGTTGGCTCCACAGCTCGAAGGGATAAGCCCTGTAGACGTACATGAAGTCGCCGTCCTCCAGCAGCTGCTCTTCCACAGGCGGACCACACTGGTAGCTGACACGAGCTGCGGCTGGTGCGGCTGATGCGGCTGCTGCTGCTGCCTCTGCTTCTGCTGCAGGGGCAGCAGCTGTTGCCATTGGCTTGGTGGTGCGCCTGAACATGGGTTGCATCGTCAGCTGCTGTCCAACCACGAGCAGCTCCAGGGGCTTGGTCTTGGCTTTCGCCTTCTTGAGCGGCGCTGCGGCCGTTGAGGCAGCTGCGGTTCGACGGTGTCGGCCAGGGCCAGCAGCGCCAACAGCGCCAGTGCTGCCCACGCTCCTTTTGGCCATCTCCATTGCCAATTTGTATGTTGTATGCGTGGGTGGGTCTGTGTGTATGTACGTATAGCGATGTTTGGTATTTCAATTAGTTGTTGCTTTTGGAAATCGTGTGCACACCTAAATTTAGCTACAATTTTTACTGAACTCTCAGGCAAAGGCTAGCTGGATACATAGTAGGAATCGAGCTCCAGCCATGTACATATGCATACCTAGATCTCCGACGACTCTCGAACGACTCAGCATGAGGCAGCTGACCACGCCCTCTACTGGCTGCAGATCAGGCGTAGGCCACATGCCTTTGCTGTGCTTCCTCTTGCCAATAAGATATGGATCTTTACAGATGATGAATGCTGCGTCTGCCAATATGTAAGGGGTGGTCAGGCGGTGTCTGTGGGGCGTCCTCTGTATGGCAGGGTTAAGCTCTAGCAGGTCACGCTTTACAATTGCAAGCCAAAGCTTCTTCCCGTTGCAGCCCCTAGAAAAGAATGTGGAAGAGGCGGGGGAGGCGGGTGAGACGGTGTGCGTAGGTCAGTCTTGGGTGGCGATGTGTGTGTAGTACGATAAACATTGGCTGGGTCATCATGCCCCAGAATTGTGCTGCTCGTTCTCATTGCGGACATTGCGAGTGATTCATCAACGGCTGCTTCTGGATATACATACATATGTATGTATTGTGGCACACTTAGCATCAAGTGTGGGTCATGTTCCAGGAATATCGAATGAACAACAACAACAACAACAACAACAACAACAACAACAACAAATGTCAGCTCTACCTCAACGAAACATCAGAGGCGGGCTCAAATAGCTTCAGCTTGTGGCCGACGTCAATCAATTATTGTTGGCAATTGGAAGCGTTTAAGCCTTTGTCAATGCGTGTGTCACCATCCGAATGTAGGAATTGGGCTGAGTAGCGCCTAATGGTTCCGGTATCAGCGGTATCAGGTGTATAGATACATCTATCAGGCGGCAGCTCGACGCGCCTCCTGCAAGTCTGCAAGAAACACGGTAAACAAATTACGATATTATCGAGGAGTGATCGGCTATGACATACCCCTTGCTCTCTCAAATGCTCGACCTGCCCACCCCGGCTATCGGCAAACACCTCAATCATAGTTGGCATAGTACAAACTTATCGATTCAATGTGAAAAGCCTGTAAATATATCAATTTAAAGCAGTTTGTTTGTTTCGGTGTCGGAGCTAGTATTGTAAAATTGAAAAAAATCAAAAAAACTGCAACTTAACCGAATTAGTGTTGTTCAATAGCGAAAAGCGGGCAATTATTGCTTTCATGGGCAGCACTGAAAGGCAGAGCGCGTGCTTTGTGCTGTGAAAAACGAATCGCACAGATTTTTCTCGACTCATTCTGAAAATGGACTTTAATGTGGAGGCAGCTGTAGCGGCTGCCGCGGCTGCGGCTGCGCAACGGGCCGACGGTGCCAGAACGGTGTACGTGGGAGTAGCTGTCCAAAATTCAGGTAAGTCATATTCAATAGCAAATAATAGAAATTCAAATTTGGTGTCTCTTTTTCTTCCTGTTCGTCTCCCAACGGGAGCACCGCTAACTGAAAGTCGCTGACAATTTTTGTGCATCAGACATTTTGATTTACATATACATACACACATGCACACAAACATACACGTCAACGTTTGCAAATTTTTCGCTTTCAACTTTCTGCATACATATATACAGTAGAGTTCGGTTATAACGACTCCGCTTATGGCGTCTGTACGGTTATAGCGACGAAAATTCTGGTCCTCAGACAAAAGTTTATAAGCTAACTTTTACGGTTATAGCGCGTTCCGGGTATAACGACGGATTTTACTGAATTTTCATTTCTGCTCAATGTTTCTATTTTATGTTAATATTTAATTGCAACCGTTTATTGATTGATTTATAATT